TGTTTTGCAGCAAGTATAATGCCTATCAGACATGTTAGCCCTATATAGAAATAAGATTATTGATCCAATATGGAAGGGCAGAAGGATGAGGCAAGTGATGCTGCATGAAAAATAGAAATTAACTCCTGAAGGTTGTCAAGTTACTGATCTTAGCATATTTCTCATTGGGGCTCAAAGGTTATTAGCAAGTTTTCTATGGATTCTGTATGTATGGAAATCTTTTAGTAAAATGTTAAAATTGGGTATCCATAAAGTTTTGAAACCTGTACACAGCAACATTTTCTTCTTATAAAAGTTTATTTTGCAAAGGTTGCTTTTTTCAAGGTTTCAGTTCAAAAGTGTTTTTTTAAAATTTTGAGAAAGTATTAGATTTTAAAATTGCATTTCAAAACAAATCCTATTTCTACCATAGCCATTCCATCACTTACATGATCTGTGAATTAATCATTCATCTATATGCCAAATACTTGTTAAACACTACTCTGTTTCAGGTATTGGGCAGAGCGTACAAAAATGAATAATCCAAGGCTCTTCTCCTCAGTCTGGTGGGGAAGCTTGATGGCAACATGCTGTGTACATACTAGAAGAGTGAACAGAGAACAGATTGGCCAGCAAGGAGAGGAATTTATTGTCTGGGGGTGGTGTGTGTGGGTGACAGACTGAGAGAAAGAGAGATGTAAGCCTGTGGGAAGGTTTAAGAGAAAGAGCATGCCCGTGCCAGAGACTCATAAAACAGGAGGAAGAGGAAAGGGGGAAAAGGAAAAATACTTCCGGATAATAACTGATCTGTGTTGATAGGTGTGTATTTACTTTGTCATTAAGTAATTCAAGGCATCTTCGAAAAATAAGCTGGGGTTTAATTTTATATAATCAATGTGTATTCAGCAGTCACTAGCAGTATATAAATGTGAAAATGTGAAGTTATCCTACACAACCCTGCACTGTTTCTGGTATTCTGAAAGCATTTAACATAGAAGACAGTATTCTAACACATGGTAGGAGGGAAGGCATCAGAAGACAAACCTAGCCATTGGGTAATTCCATAATGGGTTTTCTTTTGTCACCTTTAAAGTTCTATGAAAGTTGACATTGAAACCAAGTGGAAAACTTTCATACTAATGGGCTCATGAGGCTATTCGGGTCCTACAGGTCAGGGCCTCAGAGGTCAGTTACCCGTTTTCAAGTGGATGTTTGGTGTGGAAAACCCACGGAGCTCATGCTGAAGGTGTGCATCGAAAGAGGGTCACATCTGCAGTTACGAGTTTGTAGTATCTTAAGAAAATCCTGCAGAGGCCTTTCGTTTCCTAATACCATTTGGCAGCCATCTCTATTTGCCATGTGATCTAATGGACAGCAAGCTCTTCTACCACAAATATATGAAATCAAGTTCTCAGGAAGAATCATGACAGAAGATCACCTGGAAAAAAAATTCGCTCATTTTCTTTTATACCTAAGGAGATCTCCCACAGACAATCACATTCATATCTAAATATGTAGTGACTAAGACAGTGATCACACTGGGGAACCGTCAGATTTATAGAGGAGGACACGAGTGCCAAAGCCAGGCCATCTCCCAGTTGTTTTGTGTGGGGCGTAAGAACAAAGGCATCTTGTGTCTCAAGAAACAAGAGTGCAAGTCATGACCTGGTTGTCCCTTTTCTTTTTAAAAACTGTGACTGAATAGAAAGCCAGATGTGTTCCAGGATGGTTCGGCTGACTAACTCTTACTGTTAAATACACCAGTAGTTCCAAGACATGAGAGCAACTGATAAAGAGGACTGGCTTGTTTTCCAGGCACGAGTTCTGTTCTGTCACCTCTACTTGCTCAATCTCTCTTCTCTCATTCATATGGAGTAATGGGATTGGCAAATCCCTGAGCATTCTTGAGTTACTTCAGTGAGTTTTTAACCTTCTACTCTGTACTTTTATACAATGATTATCAGAAACTGAATCAGCAATTGGCAGGATTGGAAATAGCTTCTACTGTGACTATTTCCCTCATTTAAATCATTTCCCAAAGCCCCTGCTCTTCTTAAAGTACAATAAATCATCCAGGAGGTACTCTGCTTCATGGTATTTCTAATAATTACAACATTATGAATAATTGTTCTTGAAATTTCCAATATTCCATGTCCTTAACTGGAATCTACTCTTAGAAGTTGAAATTTCAGGTTCAGGAATTAGCCTGGATTAAAATCCTGGTTCTACCCCTCGATAGCTGTGTGACCTTAGGAAAATTACTTAACCTCTCTGTATTTCAGTTTCCTCATTAAAATGGAGTCAGTAATGATAAGAAAATGAGAAAAATGCATGTGAAGCTCAGCACATAATCAGCATGATAAATGCCAGCAATAATAAATATATCAGGACCTTGAGACTGTTCTAGCATTCATTTTATCTGTGCATAATTGGGTAAAAAACATAGTTTATTGAACACCAGATATCAAACTCCTATAAATTTCTGTGTGTTGATGATGGAGCTGGTGGAAATATGAGTGGGAGTCAGAAGGGTGAAGAGACTTTTATCTGAAAAGGGGAATGTACTTAAGGTGACCATGTAAGTCTGCTGATTTGCTGTCCATTTCTGAATGAGTCTCATAGTTTATATATAGTGTGGAACCATGAATACTTCACAGCAGTTATGGTATCATTTGTTAGTTCCTTAGAAAACACAAACCCAGCTCCAGTTTCTTTGTCCTTTGTCCTAGCCTCCAGTCCTACTTCCATAGCCCCCTCCTCTCTGAGGCTGCCAGGGCATCCGGACCCTACAGGGCTGCTGATGAAACCCAGAGCAGTAACAGGACTCAGGCACAGTACATCAGCTGCAAAGACTGTCGGAACTCATTGTTTTACATATAGTGACTTCGCTCAAGGAGGAAAGAAGCACTGACCTCCATTTGCCAGATTCAGAAGGCACTGGGTATGGTCTAGTGATGCATTTGACGTGGTTAACACATAATCACAATCTTGAAATATTTTAACATTCATGTGGCCATTTCTAAATGTTATTCATTCATTCACTGACTCAACAAGTAATCATTGCATGCTAAAAACTCACAAGGAAGCATGCCAGATTTTTCCGTATATATGTCTTCTGGCCCTAACTGGATGATGAATCCTTTCAGAGCAAAGATATTGTACCTTATTCACATTTTATCCCAAATGAAGCCTGTAGAAGGCATTTAACCAATGCAATAAGCATGCATTATGTAAGTGAAAAGTGGGTGCAATTACTACACTAGTGGTGCACAACCAGATGACAAAATATTTATTCCTACAACTTCATCATCTTTAATCTTACAATTTAAGCAGAACATGAAGGCAAACATCATCTCCATGAATAATATATGTGTCAGCAATATTATGTTAGACATTTTATTTAGATTAAATATATAATCTATGTGCTTATATAAAAATGAGAAGATGAGCTCAACAAATTATATAAACTTTTCAGGGAGTCAAGAGTTTTGGGTGCAAATAATAGTTTGACATAGGATTCCCCTCAGACACAAATCCCCTTCCCCGTAGCAAAAGGAAGTGAGCAAAGAAATCTAAGTACACTGAAGTTTTCAAGGCTAAACATTTTGATTCAATGTTCTGTTATAAAATATTGGGCCTTGTTTGAATTTTTATTGTTATATGTTCTCAGTCTATATTTAACTGTGAGAAACACAAATAACAAAGAGGGAATGTGCAAAATATTCTTTTCAAGTACATGGCAGTGAATTTGATAAAACATATACTAAAGGAACACTTTGTGTTTTTAACTTTCAGTCCCTTTTCTCAGGCCTCCCTTGGCCAGATACGGTGAAATGTTTATTGAACTAAGGACTCAGCTTACTTGAAATGAAAATTCTTAAAGGCCTCTCAGAGCCACTAAGATAAGCACATTTACTTTGCCATGCTCTCAAATAAAGTTTCTTTTATGCTCTTTTTCATAGGTGAAATAAGGTCTAAACTGTGAAGTTTTAAAATGGAGACATACAATTCCACAATTCCCTATTTGCTCGAATTAACTTTTTAAAAATTGGGGTGTTGGCTCCGGCATCAGCTCAATCCAGATTCTGTAATCAGCCAACAATCTGTGCCTCACAAAGGCTGCCATCCTTAACTGCCGTCTCCTTCCCTCCATACCCTTTCTGTGGTAATACACTTTAATTGGTGCCTCTCTGTGAGCCCCTCACATCTCCATCTGGCCAAATAAACACATTTTTTCAACTCAGCCTCAATGTCTTGGCAGTCAGCAAGAGGATATAGACTTGCCACAATTGGTAATCTTTAAGATGCACAAAAGCCTAAAACTAAAGGAATGGGTACAGTTGGTATAATCAATGGCTCTCGAGAGGATGGCTCATGAACAAAGTGGCTTTGTGCTCAACAGTATTTTTTCTTGGTCTAAACTGCAACTCCTGAGCAGTGTCAGTGCTGAGAACTGTGTCCTCTCAGAGCACACATTAGTGGTGAAATATTCCATTTCTAAGGAGAGCACAACTTTTTGAAGATGGACTTACTATCACCCTATTTGCACTGGTCAGATCCAGGCAAGTGTAATCAGGAGCAGAATGGTGAAACAGTTAAGACAGTGGGCTCTGAAGTCAGAGCGGGTTCAAATCCTGCTGCTGTTATTAACTGTCTCACCTCAAGCAGTTAACCAAATTGCTCCATGCTTTGGTTTCTCCATCAGTAAAATGGAGATAATATTAGGACGAGCATAAGGCATCTGACAGGTCTAGCATACAGCTTGGCTGGTCGGCACTAAGCAAGGTCAGTCCACCAAATTCCCTGGGCAGCAGGAAGGAGGTGGGGAGGGTGAATAACCAGTTGGGAAGTTATTCCTCAAAGAATTCCTCCCTCTTCAAATGTTTCACACCAATCATCAAGCAAAGTTTAAGGAATGACCACGAGATGATATGGTCTGTGCTCATTCATTCCGTTTCATTTCTTTGGGGCTTCATTTCTTTGGGGCTCTGGACAGACTGCGTGTTTTCTCTAACCCTCAGGGTCATCTGGGTTGAACTGAAGAGTGCTTTCGGGACAAAACGGCCAGTACTGCTCTCTTAGTAGCCATCCCGATGGAAGGTAATGTTTCTCTTGCTCATTTCCGGCCTAGGAATCTCTCCCTCTCAACATGTTTGCTTTTCCTCACTCCCACTTTGGTGAGACGGCCTTCTCAGCATGAAGCAGAAGCAATCAGGCTCGCCTCTGTGCATGAGTACAGCTTAGGGTATTTGGGCAAGGAGCGGGCCAGCCAGAATGGCAGGGCCATAGATCCCGGGGAATCCCAGGGGCACAGATCACTCTCAGCCTCAGGGAGGGGGATCTCACCAGTTGCTTTCTCAGGGTTGTTGCACATGAAGCACTGCCATGCTCCTGCTGCGTCGCTGAAGCCAAACACATCAAAGAACCTCACTTCTTCCAGATGAAGCTGTGCCCGGTCCAGGTCCTGTTTCAGGAACACAAAGCACAAAGAAGATAAGCTGATCTGCCTGATACATAGCATTCTGAGCCTGGATAAAGGGGGACATGGAAGCTCAAACTCAGTGCTCAGGACAAGGGGAGAACATTGCCAAAAGCACTCTTGACCCACCTTGGAAAAGAGCCGTCATCCTAAACTCTTCCAAGGGAGTTCTCTTAAATGCAGAGGGCAGCGAGCGTGGGCCCAGGGCTGGCAGGTGAAGTGTCAGAGCCTGAAGTGGCCCAGAATTTTCTTGCATCTAATGACAACACCAAAGTCTCTGAGGAGGGGCACCAATGTGGCAGTGTGGCTGAAAGGAATGCTGCTAGGGGATTTGCCTTTTACTTACACTTTACAGAATTGAGAATCAATTATCCGTATCCAAAAATTATTTTTATTAGCTTGGCTTTGCAGGGGGCTGATGGAAAATGGAGGGACTCTTTTAGTTTTATACTTTATTTTAAAAGCGTATGCAGATTTTGCATTCTATCCCATCATATGGCTGAACTAGTTTTAGTGGAAAATAATGTCTTCAATTACTGATCAGTAAATTAATTAACTTTTCCCTCTCCAAATGGGTGAGTAGGATCGACACACCCAGAAAACTGCCCATGTTTGATGTGCCCTATGGCACCCTGCCAATGGGTTCCTGTGTAAGAGGCAGAGAGAGGTTCCATTACACTGTAAAAGGATGGAAAACTATTAGCCTAACCAAATTAAATAGCTCTACTGTTCTCCTGAGGCTTTCCTATTATGTAAATGACTTGTATCCTTTGCAACAGGGTGGCCAGAACTGTACTCATAAAGGGTTGCTTTCCTAAGAGAGATTTAATGTTTTTGCATTAAAGACATGGGCACCTGCCCCTCTGACTTACGTGTGTGTCCCCTGTTGAGCTGTGATTTTCTTTCTTTCCCTTGGTCCACACATTCTTATCTTCTACCTGTAATAACTGCTCTTAGTATGCCAAGAGCTGAGGCATGGAGGCAGTGTTTGCACTGCTTATGGTAGATCTAAAATAGAAACGGTCAAGTGGCTACCCAGATCCTACCCGAGGGATCTGGCTCCCCATATCTACATCTTTTTTGACAGAGGTGAGAGGTTTTCTAAATGCTAAGCTCTTTAAGAGCAGAAGCATATTTATTTTGTTCACAATTGTATCCCTAGAGCCTAGTCCAACATCAGGAATGGATGAACAGCATTGGTTTGCAGGCTCAGCACAAAATTTTCCAATGAACTGTATGAATGGTATTATAAAATTTTAAAGGGATTTTTTATAGAGGACATTTGCACTCACTGGAATATAAACACAATGAAGGCAGGGACTCTGTTGTATTGGCTGCTATAACCCAGCACTAAAAAAACCTGTGAAATAAGCAAGCATTAAATAAATAATTGTGGAAAAATGGAAGACAAAAACTGGGACTGGAAATGACTATTTTTCAGGCATCTTTTATTAAGACTGTTACGGCTGTGTTCCGTAATTAAATATTTTGGAGTTCCAACCTACTGAATATAGATAGCATTTTGAGTTGCAAACATTTAATACCATCTTTTAGGCATTCTAATAGGCACCGTATGTATGAATGTTGTTTTAGCAAAAGTGATCTTGAATGTGTTCAACGGAATAAAAGGGTTTTTTTTTTAAAAAAAATCATTTTCCCAAAATAAAGATTGAAGAAGCACCTGGGAGTTTTGTAGGTTTCAAAGGATGAAATCCATATTAAAATTTATGGGGGAAAAGCAGATGTTCATAAATATCAGTTTCAAAACTGCTAAGTCTCTGAAGTCTGTACTTGGCTCTTGGCATGCAGATCACCTCTCTACTTCTCACATAATTAAGGATCAATTTTTCATTCACCACAAACACTGCTAGCAAATAAAGTACTTAAAATAATACTTAAAGGTTCCTTTATTTTTCCTGTTCTGAGACCAGGTATGTCCCAGGTTGTTGCTTATAATTCACATTTGTCTTGGCAAAAAGTTGCTTAAAAGTTTAAGACAGATGGCAAGCTACACCCAAATGTTTGGGTTCTGAAGTCAAAAGCAGGCTTACTTCTTCAGAGGATTTAGTTTTTGTGCAAAAGGAACTGAGTAAAGAAGATAGGCGATAATTCTATTAACTGTTGAAGTCAACAATAACAAGAGACAGATGAAACACACGTAGTTCCAAATATTGGTGAAAATCAAAGCAAAATAAATCTCAAAACAAACAAATGTAAACCAATAGCTAGTGATACCTAAATTTGTGGACTTCTGACTTCTTCAATGTGCTTGGGGTCATCATCTCTTTCTCCTACTTGCCTTCTTTACCCTCCTGGTTCCTGGTTTCTGTAGCTTCCCCAGCTTTGCCCAAGAATTGCAATGTGGCTTCCATTTTCTTTTTTAAGATAAGAGAACTAGAATTGATTTATTTAGTATTAAGAGCAAGCTTCCTTTAAGACAAATAGACTCCAGAAGAGTAATAAAAATCATTCATGTCTAAGTAGAGTCATGCCCTGAGTATTTTAGTTAAATGGGAGGGACTGTGGTGGACAGACCCTATGATATGATATCCCCAATAATTCTCATCACTTGGGGTTCATCCCTTTATACAATCCCTTCCCCATAGATGTGGGAAGGACCCGTGACTTGCTTCTCACCAAGAATATGGAAAAGTGATAAGATATTAATCCCATGATTATGTTTTTATGTATACACACACATACACACACACATGCACACACATAAGACCTGTCTTGCTGGAAGATGTATAGGGAAACTTCACTGCTGGCCTTGAGGAAGCAAGATGCCATGTTGTATACTGTCTATGGAGAGGGCCACATGGCAGGGAACTGTGGGTGGTTTCTAGTACCTAAAACAGCCTTCAGCCAACAGCCAGGACTATAACTCCAAATAAATTATTTCTGACAACAACCTGAGTGAGTTTGGAAGCAGACACATCTCACTTGAACTTCCAAATGAAAGCCCAGCCCAGCCAATATCTTGAATGCAGCCTTGTGAGACCTTGTGAGACCCAGTTAGTCATCAGCAGCCTCTTGCCCCAAGGAAACTGTGAGATAATGAACAGGTGTTGTTTTAGTTTGCTAGGGTTGTGGTAAGCTGTTATGTAGCATTAGGAATCAATGTAAAGATTACACCATGAGGAAGGGCAGGTGACACCCAGTTGGCCAGTCCTCAGTGAAAATCATGTCTCCACTTGGAGGGGTTACATTCTTCCAAGTACACTCCAAAGCAGGCCTCAATAAAACATGAAGAATATCAAAGTTCAAATAATTTATGTTGACTTAAAGAAAAAGATGTATGATCATAGTAAGCATGCACTAAGAAAGATTCTCTTGATAAACACCATCTAATTCAAAAGGGATACAAGCCTCTGGAAGTAAAATGCTATTTTAAAATAGATGATTGTTTCTATGGTTTAAAAAAAATCATTAATGGGAATTTAAAAAACTATATTAAAAGCTCTCTTGCAAAGCCTTTTAGAGGAGAAATAAGCCAAGCAGCATGGAAAGATGAGAACATATTTGCAACATTATTTTGATTACAATGACAGCATGAGGCAATGCTATGGATTCTATGAAAGTGTAAAGTGGCCTCTGGATCTTATAATGTGGTCTATGTACTGTGAGAGGGTACTGAGAGGGAAGTAATTTTCCAGAAATCAGTGAAAGCATACATCTGGAAGAACTTTGAGTTCTGGCACATTTAAATTCTGTTCTAAAGTTATTTTTGCACAGATACAAAACATGGGATTGCCTCATGAGCTCTGTGTGCCTATGGTTAACAGGACTAATCCTAGGCACATACCTCAAGTATGTTTTAAGAAAAGAAAACAAGGTTTTTTTTTTAATGATCCCCAACATTTTCATGTAATAGTAAGGCTTTGTGTCTTTATGGTTAATTCCAGGGCACATTTTCTAACTATATGAGACAAGGGTGTGAAATAAGCTTATTGAAGGAAGAAAATTAATGGTTTATCTTTATATTATTTATATTGTCTCACATTGTATAAGCAGAGTGTTTTGTAGGAAACACTATGTTGAATGAATAAACTAGCAAAAGAGACTCTAAAGAATCTTATGCTGTAATTTTTAATTGATTCCAATTTCTGAAAAATATTACAATTGAATTCAATTGATAGCACCTGACATCAAGAACCTGTGATAAATAGATGAAGGAGATACTGTCCTGTATTCCAAGGATTGGAAAAGGTAGTTGATTGGGTCAATGGCATTCCTCCCAAAGGAAGATGGGAATACATCTTTGTGTTTGGGTTGTGATTGTTATTAAGCTTCTTTTGATCTGACCCTTTTGGTCCTCAACTGGATTAAGGCTCCTTAGCAAGAAGACCTATAGTGTTTGGTAGTTTCTGAAAATATTTAGCATAGCACTTTGCCCATTGATGCAGATGTTCAGTTAATTTTTAGAATTTTTTGTTAATTGAGACATATGGATTTTATCTTTAATTTAAATCAAGAATAGCATATTTAGGTTTTCAATTTTCATGTCTATTCACCTATGACCATTAGGCCCCTTCAGAACATCTTGTTTAAAAAAATATGTGTATATATGGAACTCATTTTATGGAATTTTATAAAACAGTTTTTACAATAAAACGTTAATGACTGAAAAAGAATGTTTGTCTGAATCAATCAATGCAGTATGTTGATTGCTTGTTTTCAAGACTCCCAGGTTTTCCAGATCACCAGTTTTCAGGAAATGTTGGTGTCAGGAATCCCAGGGAAACTTCTTACAAAGGCTCAGACACGGGTTCACCCTTGGAAGCCAAACACAGTAAGTTTGTGTTTGGGCCTGGGAATCCGCATTTCTAAGAAGCTTTCCTCATTATTCTGATGTGCACTGACTGGGAAATTAATCCTACACCCTGGGGAACAGATGTCAGGATGGCTGATCTTTCTCTGTTAATTAGTATTTGAGGAATTTGCCAATCCTCATGCTCATACTTTTCCATAACAGCTTGGTTTCATGAGACAAAATATATCAT